ATCAAAAGGGGGCTAATAATTCTGACTTCAACTGTATATATATGTATATATGTATATGTATATATAATATAATATGTATAAACATTCAAATAAAAGTTTACATGAATAATCATAAATATCTGTTTTCTTCTGTTCACAGGCTGAAGCTTTAGTGCAGTACCTCGAGGAGCCGCTAACACAAGTGGCAGCATCATAAAATGTTCTTGTGTCATTGGATGCAGAATCTTGGCCTTCATATTATATTCTATTATTTATTGGAATCCTCTGTATGATTGCTATATCAAACTGTGCACCAACTAGACCCAAAATATGGCTTCTATTTGAACTGCATCTTCACTTTTCTTGGTTTATCTCTCAGGATTTTTGCAATCATTGATCAGACTATATCTGGTGTCAACAATAAGAAATAAATGCTTAGTTTTTTTGTTAAGTGTTGTTGTTTTTTTTTTCTTATCTAAAACATCAGAATGATTATCCAATGCAAGAGCGGGTGCTTTTTCTTAAATATTATGTTTAAAGTCCAGTGAAGTGAGATTAGACATGTGCATTGTTTTTTCATTCGAAATGTGACGCAATCTCAAGTAAAACCTAAAGACAGGGTGTGACAGAGTAGCTCCTTCCCTTTTTAAAATCAACCTATGGCGTTTCGCTTTCATCACCGCTCTGTCAGTGAGAGGGGTTAAGCTCAAGTGCATCAAATGTAAAGTAAATGAGAAGCATATTAAAGGGGGTGGGGATGTCAGATACTAGAGAGCATTTGATTGGTCAGAAGTTTGGACGAGAAACTGAAGTATGAGGTGATGTCAAAAAATTGTTGAAAGTGCAAAATTTGCATGTTTATAATTAAATAATAGACTTTATTCACTTTTTTGGAGCGCACTAGCTTATAGATATCCTTAAAACTAACATACTGATGCTAATGTTTAAAAAGATGTGTTTTAATTTTACGGGACATTTAAATATGCAAATATTGCATTGTTTAATTAAATATGTGCACATTTGCACAGCATCATTGGATGAAAATTGTATAAAGTCAGGGTCAAAATACTTGTTTTATTTTTAACTTATTAACAGGGTTGGTATGGGTGCTGGAAATCCTGGAAAATGCTTGATTGTTAATATAGTGTTTTCAAGGTTAGAAAAGTTCTTGGATTTTGGACAAAGTGCTTGAACCTGCTTGAATTTAAAATTGGAGGGCTCGAAATTTGTACATGTGTCCAGATTTAGGAGACATTCACGCAGAATGCATATTTGCACCTAAAAACGCCAAACACAGTGCTCAGGAATAGTTTAAAACAAAGTAACTGCAGTGAATAAATGAATAGTTTAAAACAAAGTAACTGCAATGAATAAATAAATAAATAATAATAATAAATAAATAACAAAAAGTAACATTGATCAAAGCTTGCAAAATATTGTTTCAATATTTGGTGACAGATTTTCAAAACAGGTGACATAGGAAAAGTTCATTAATTTGCAGCAAGAATATTCTCAGACTCATAAAGATTTAATTTGTTACATGAATTTTAAATAGCAATGCACATGAAATGTTATGAACGGCTGCTAATGAAAGTTTGGTACGACGCCCAAACAAAATCTGACTGTAAGCTCATTTTTTGAGATATCAGCTTTAGGTATGAGACCAAACTTAAAGATACTTTAACTAATAACTGAACTTTTTAAAATTTCTTTAGCATTTTTAGGTGAACTATCCCAATAAATATATGCTCCAAAGTATACAACAATTTAAGTTGAAATGTTATATTGTGTTTTTTTTAAATAGCACAATGGATTTAGATGTGAAAAAGTACATACCACATATATATAAATGCAATTTACCATGCTAAAAAAGTAGAAAAATGCACCTTGAAAGTGCTTGAAAAGTGCTGGAATTTGAAGTTGGAAAAGGTGTAAGAACCCTGTATTAAAAGCTTTCATTTTGTCTTCATGTAAGTATGCATTTTTAACAGTTATACGTAAACTGTTTTGTGGTTGGATTGCCTAACAGTGGAAATGATTGCCAACTGAACTTAAAGAGTTTTTACAGTAAAGGAGCTACAATATCAGCACATGTTTTGATTTATTATAACAATGTATTAATATTATTCATTCATTCATTCATTTTCATCCACTTTTCCGGGGCCAGGTTGCGGGGGCAGCAATCTTACGAGAGAACCCCAGACTTCCCTTTCCCCAGACACTTCCTCCAGCTCCTATCCCGAGGCTTACCCAGGCCAGCCGGGAGACATGGTCCCTCCAGTGTGTCCTGGGTCTTCCCTAAGGCCTCCTCCCGGTGGGACATGCCTGGAACACCTTCCTAGGTAGGCATCTGAAACAGATGCCCGAGCCACCTCAGCTGACTTCTCTCGATGTAGAGGAGAAGCGGCTCTACTCCGAGCTCCTCCCGGGTGACAGAGCTCCTCGCCCTGTCTATAAGGGTGCGCCCTGTGAAGGAAACTCATTTCGGCCACTTGAATCCAAGATCTTGTCCTTTCAGTCATGACTGGGTAGGAACGTAGATTGACCGGTAAATCGAGAGCTTTGCCTTTCGGCTCAGCTCCTTCTTTACCACAATGGACTGATACATCGACCGCATTACTGCTGCTGCTTCACCTATCCGCCTGTCAATCTCACGTTCCATCCTTCCCTCCCTCGTGAACAAACTCCAAGATACTTGAACTCCTCTACTTGGGTAAGGACTTTCCTCCAACCTGGAGATGGCAAACCACCTTTTTCCGGTGGAGCACCATGGCCTCGGGCTTGAAGGTGCTGGTTCTCATCCCAACCGTGTCACACTCCAGTGCATGCTGAGGAGGGGAACCAGGTATTATTAATACTTAATAATACAAATCCAAAATAATTTTATTAGGTTCATATATTAGGTTCACTAGGCAGGTTAGGGTAATTAGGCAAGTTATTGTATAACGATGGTTTGTTCTGTAGACTATCGAAAAAATATTGCTTAAAGGGGCTAATAATTTGACTTTAAAATGTTTTTTAAAAATTAAAAACTGCTTTTATTTTAGCTGAAATGAAACAAAAAGGTTTTAAAAAAGACTTAATTTTACTTAAAAAAAAAAAAAAAAAAAAAAAAAATATATATATATATATATATATATATATATATATATATATATATATATATATATATATATATATATATATATTATCAGACATACTGTGAATATTTCCTTGCTATGTTAATCATCATTTGGGAAATATTGAAAAAAGAAAAGAAAAATCAAAGGTGGGCTGATAATTCTGAATATTTTAATTGTATGTATTCATTCATTCATTTTGTTTTCGGCTTAGCTCCTTTATTAATCTGGGGGTGCCACAGCAGAGTGGCATATGTTTTACGCAGTGGATGCCCTTCCAGTCACAACCCATCAACAACCCCACAACCCTGGAAAAGAAAAAGATATATATATATATATATGTATATATTGAATAGCACACACACATTGAATAAGATACCTAACTAACCCTTAGCCCTAACTTTCAATAAAAAACTAAAGTTTTTGCCAAAAATACACTACATAAAATGATAGCTAAATCAACAAAACAAATGAGACTGAAGGTTTTAACGAATCATTTCCTTGGATTTATAAGTTTCTATCTGCATTCTGAATGATTTTGAGATATTGAGCTTCAAAGTTTTTGCAAACAGTTTGTGTGTAACATTTGTTTTTTTTTAATAAAAAGTCTTAAAATGTAAACAACTTCTAAAAAACATCCCATAATGTAAATAAGTTGTCATTTAATAAGAATATGTATATAACTCAATTTTGACAAAAATGTCAGATAGAACCTTACAATTCTAAGGTGACAAAATGTTGTTTTCCCCATTCAGAAAGTACTGCAGACAGCAAGAAATGCATTTTTGTACTATAATTATGTATGAACAAATAAAAAAAAATCCAGAACACAGATAAACTGAAAACTGTGAAGAAAATGCAAAAGTGGAGATTTATATTTAAATGCATTTAAATATTTAAATTTAAAGAAGGAGGCAAAAAAACTTTTTTAAGAAATAAAGTGTTTATTAGATGTTTTTCTTAATGGAAACTATCTGTAAAAACACTTTATGACAAGCCAAAAAGTCTGATATCTTAAAACTAAACAATTATTATAATAAAAAAAAAAAAATTTTATTTATAGCAATAGTGTCTTACAATACAATATTATACTCATTTAGCCCACCATGTGCTCAACATGAGTACACCCCATTTTGAAAATGAATATTATAATCTATTTCTCAGTGAACATAGGTCATATACCTTGCTGCATTTGAAACAAAACAGATTTATTAAACAGATATATTTAATAAAATAATATTTTAATGGAAGATCATCTTCAGAAAGAAAAAGATAATACATTTAAATTCAGTGGGGAAAAATATTACAAACCACTAAATTTCAACAAAATTTTATACATCTTTTGTCTCTCTAATTTTTGCTCTTGTACATTTTTTCATGTCATATTTTCCCTAACAATTCAATTTGGGTGTACTCTAATCGGACTGCTATTTTGTTAGATTAGCTCCAGACTTGGCTTCAGTACGTACTAATCTAATGTATATGCACAAATATAATTTTGTAAAGCTTCCCATAGAAAATATTATTTTAAATGAGAGATTTGTGAGGGGTGTACTTATATATGCTGACAACTGTAATTCCAAATATGTGCAACTGGAGGGGCTTTTCCATAGCGATTCCATCCCTTCCTGATTTCAGGAGAAACCGCTTGAAAGCGAGCCATTGGCTGTGTGTGGGCTGTATGGCGCTTTGTGATTGGCCGCGCAGGTGCACTAAGTCTCCCAGTTTCATGTGACTGCACCTGTGCTGCTCTACCTGTCTGACCTGAATCCGGCAGAAAACACAAGTCACGCCTTCAGGTACGCTGCGCTTCATAGCGGAACTTCCAGGCTCAATAACACGGCTAGTTCCTCGTACAAACAAATGACCTGTCCACTACTTATTTTTTGTTGATGTACATTCATTACTCTCATTGCTGTTATATACGTAGCATACCGTGAGCTGAGCATAGCATTTCTGTTTTATTTCTTTAGGACTCGAGCTCATGCAGAATTAAGTGCAGATTAGATAAGAAAGATCAGCTTTGGAGTGGAAATATGGGGTCTGATGAGGCCTACAACTTCGTTTTTAAAGGTAAGGTTTTTGATATTTGTTTGTAGGTATTATTGGAATCTGTTATGGACACTATATGTCTGATTGGTTTTAATATTGTATGTTTTTATGCATTAACGTTTGTTAGCCTTATTTTAATTTATCAGCATTACTAATACAAGCAGTTTTAATAGTGAAAAGCTAAAATATTTAAACGAAATATCTGATCTCTTTGTAATAAAATAAACACAAGTGTTAAAGAGACTCTTTAACTTAATAAATTGTTGCAAAGGTAGATCAACATCTGTAAGGTGTGAATAATAATGATACAGTAAACCTTAAACTTTGTAAAAAAAACAAATTATGATAATCAAATCTGAACTTTCAGGAAAGGGACCAGCCGTCATTTCTCAAATACATACTGCAACATTAATATTGTGAAGTTGAATGACTATATTATTACCCCCAACGGTAACAAATCTTTCAGATGGGGAGCTAGTGGTTGGGATGCACAAAAAAAGAAACCAAAAAGCCAGTTTGGCGACATCCTTACATCCTTTTTTACTTACAATCTCCTCTCTGCTACTACTAGCCTGCAGCACTCATTTTCACGTGTGTTGCTATTCTGACCTGAAGTGACAAGCGCTAGCACGTGTTTTATGCTTGTGTGAGGTAATTAGTCTGCCATTATTACTGAAATGTGTAAAGCAGATTGGTTAGTTCTAGCGCTCGTGGCATTTAGAAAAGTTTAGTTGTTTTTCAACTTTTTTTTTTTCAACCAATTTTTTGCTTGTTTTTTTTTTTATTGCATGCTTTATTTAAATTTTCTTTGCTGTACTTAAAGATACTGACTATTTTCTTGCAATTGGATGAAATTAGATAGATAGCTATACATAAATATTATGACTGAATGCACCTAAGTCAGAACCCCGCCTAAAAGCAATGATGCTGGCAGCAGCCCAGGTTCAAATCCGGGTCACGGCACCAAAACTGCTGTGAGTTTCTCTGTCTGGGCTCACGGCACCAAAACACAAAAGACGAGCCAAAAACCAGAAATAACTTCCGGGTATCTTCAAAGCAGAATCCTTTAATAAAAAGAACTCAGCGTCGCTGTAGTGTCATCAAACGAACTCTCAACTGGTACAGCAGACACTCAGTTTAAATACATTTTTACAGACATTGATACTTGTAGGTGAGGACAGTCTAAAACAAGCATGCAAATGAAGTGTTGTTGTTGGCAGGGTAAATTGTCTTTAACCTGTTAACGTTTAATTTTAGCATGGAAACAGTGTGCAAATGATGTTCTGGAGACAGAACGCATCCGACCAGTTGACCGGCTTGACCATTTGTTAAACAATAGACACAGCTGTGCTGTGATACTGACAGTGCATTTCTTTGCAGACAGTCAGGGCTCAGGAAACCAAGACAAGGTCTGTCACACCCTAAAAACCAAAGAATATAACTTTTCAGTTATATATAGATTATATCAATTCATATTCTCACAAAAGCAACAACAAAAAAGGACTTACTGTATTTTATATAGTAAATTTGGTTTTAATTGCATGAACACTTGCACAAATACATACAGCTCTAAACAATACAATAGAGTTCTTAATAATACATCATACACTTAAAAATAGGCCAACATGGTGACACATTAAGTAGCGCTGTTGCCTCTAACCAAAAAGGTTGCTAGGTCAGTCGGCATTTCTGTGTGGAGTTTGCATGTTCTCCACGTGTTGATGTTGGCTCTGCTTACGAAACACCATTATGGTGCGGCTAAAATATCAACTTCGATATAAATAGCCCTGGTAGTAAGTATACTCAAAAATGACTTCTAACCTATTTAAAAGGAGTTAAAACAGCTCAATTCTTACATTTTATTTGGGACTACTTAATTGTTTTTTGTTCAATCCACTTTCATTTGTAAAAAAACGATTAAGTTAATTTAATTGATTTGTGTCGGGATAACATGGAGTTATGTGGAACCCTGCATTTTTTACAGTGTAAAAGTACATTTTTACTTCATTTTAAGGTGTTGCATGGGATACAAGGAAGAACAGGAGTTTATTATCGATTGGAAATGCCTGAACTCTTCTTTTGTAATGCTCTGAATGTTTGACCACAAAACAAATAGGCTGAAATCAGATTTCCATGACAACATAGGCTTGTTTACACAAGATTAGCGAGTTCAGTTAGTCAGTGTGGGAGGGGAAATAGCTGCACCCGCATGTTAAAGGCCTTTGTTAAGCAGAGATGTGCTTGAGCAGTTCTCCAACAACCGCAAACAGACACAGCATCAGATGACCAGTCTATAAATGAAGTGAGAGACGACCAGGATAGTGTTTATCAATCTTATTAGGAAGAATATTTGTTCAGATTAAAAATAAAGAGAATCTCTTTATGTGATGCAGTTTATTTTGAAAATTCTATTAGAACATTAAAAAACTGCACTTTTAGTAAAAATACTTCTAGTAATTCGCTATTTTTATGTTTTATTGTGATTATATTAATAACTATAAAGTAAGTAAACAAGCACAAGAAATATATTTTTGAATTTTAATCTTGAATTAACAATCACAGAAACAAAAATATACAGAAACTGGAATTATATATATAAGTGCTGTCAAATGATGCACCACATCCAATATAAAGTTTGGATTTACATAATATATATGTGTACTGTGTATTTTGATGTATATATACTAACTGTACACTTTATTAGGTATTTTTACTAGTACCAGATTGAACCCCTATTTGCCTTTAGATCTGCCTTAATTGTTGGTACCACAAATTCAACAAGGTACTGGAAATATTCCTCAGAGTTTTTGCTCAATATTGACATGTTAACATTACCCAGTTGCTGCAGATTTGTTGAGATCTGGTGACTGTGGAGGCCATTTAAGTACAGTGAACTTGTTGTCTTGTTCAAGAAACTAGTTTATTGTCTATGGCTTTATGTTGTCGAGTTATCCTGCTGGAAGTAGCCATCAGAAGATGAGTACACTGTGGTCATGAAGAGATGGACATGGTCAACAACAATACGTAGGTAGGCTGTGGCGTTGAAACAATGTTCAATTGGTACTAATTGGCCCAAAGTGTGGCAAGAAAATATCGTCTACACAATCACCAGCCTGAATCGTTGATACAAGGCAAGATGGAGCCATGCTTTCATGTTGTTGAAGTCAAATTCTGACCCTACCATCCAAATGTAGCAGCAGAAATGGAGACTCATCAGACCAGGCAACGTTTTTTAATCTTCTGTTGTCCAATTTTGGTGAACCTGTATAAATTGTAGCCTCAGTTTTCTGTTCGTAGCTGGCAGGAGTGGCACCCAGTGTGATCTTCTGCTGCTGTAGCCCATCTACCTCAAGGTTGAACATGTTGTGTGTTCAGAGATGCTCTTCTGCAGACATCGGTTGTAACGAGTGGTTATTCCATTCTCTGTGAACACTGCAGATGGTTTTGCGGAAATCCCAGTAGATCAGCAGTTTCTGAAATACTCAGACCAGCCCGTCTGGCACCAACAACCATGCCACATCAAATGTCACTCAAATCACCTTTCTTCCACATTCTGATGCTCGGTTTGAACTGCAGCAGAACGTGTTGACCATGTCTACATGCCTAAATGCATTGAGTCGCTGCCATGTGATTGGCAAATTAGAAATTTGCGTTAACGAGCAGTTGGACAGGTGTACCTAATAAAGTGGCCGGTAAGTGTATGTATAAATGCATACCGTGCAAAAAAATACAAAAATAATTATGTTTACATGTATATTTATATATAATTTGTATTATATGTTATATTTTGGATTATTTCTGTGATATATTACATTTATGGGGGAAAATGTTTACCTTGTTATAATATTGCATTAATAATTGTTTATTTTATTATGGTTGAAGTGAAGCAAAAGGAGCTGGATGTATTTAAAATGAACAGTTAAATAGTATATTGATGTGTTTAAATATTATATTACCTTAAAATTTAAGATAATATAACTTTGTTTTACTTATAATATTTCATTATATTCATAACATTTCATTCAAATAACAAAAAGTGCTTGAAAAAGAACAAAAAGTGCTTAAAAGTAAAAGATCCAAAATCATAATGACCATTAACAAAACACCACTGATAAATCTGTTTATCAGCCATCCTGACGGTTCAATTAAACTCTTTATTTGCACACAAATATTTGTGCATCTGCTGATTTAAAGTGATAGTTCACCCCAAAATCATATCCTGTCATTATTTACTCACCCTTTACTTGTTCCAAACCTGCTTGACTTTCATTCATCTGCTCAACATAAATGAAGATGTATTGGAAAATACTGCGGGGAAAAACAGCCATTGACTCCTGTAGCATTTTTTTTTGTTCCCTCAATTGCTGATTTATTTATTTTTTTGTAAACATTTTTCAGAATATCTTGTTTTATGTTCAACAGAAGAATACAATTCATTTAAAAACATTCAGAACCACTTGAGTGTGAGTAAACGGTAAGGAAAGTTTCATTTTTGGGTGAACTGTCCCTTTAATGGATCATATATAGGACAGTATATACATATATTATCCACTCTGTACCGTATTTTAAGTGCGAGTAACATTTTTGGGTGAACTGTCCCTTTAATGTGTCATATATATATATATATATATATATATATATATATATATATATATATATATATATATATATATATATATATATATATATATATATAGGACAGTATATATATATAGGACAGTATATATATATACATTATCCACTCTGGACTGTATTTTAAGTGTGAGTAACAGGGCTCAAAATTAACCTTTTTGCTTGTTAGCACCGGTGCTCCTAACTTTAAAAAATTTAGGCGCATCAGCCAAAATTTAGTCGCACGCACCAATTATGAGCACCGTTACTACAAGTTTTATACAAACATATTTATTGTATTTGAAATCAACACTAATCAAACTAACAAGCAAAAAAAATTATATATATATATATATATATATATATATATATATATATATATGCAAGCGTGAGGAAAATATGTCTCAACG